AAATGAATCCCCTGAAGATTTCAGCTCACTACAGCTAGGATCCAGGGAGGAAAAAAACATTTCAGTTTTTTACCCAAATGTCCCAAAACTAAAAAAAAAAAATCCATATCCGCGGTCATCAAAAATTCCAAGTTTTGGCCCAAAAATCCAACTTCACGAAATTCAGTCAAATGTTCACACAAGGTGGGTAGAGGCCAGAAATGAATCCCCTGAAGATTTCAGCTCACTACAGCTAGGATCCAGGGAGGAAAACAAAATTTCAGTTTTTTACCCAAATGTCCAAAAACTAAAAAAAAATCCATATCAGCGGTCATCAAAAATTCCAAGTTTTGGCCCAAAAATCCAACTTCACGAAATTCAGTCAAATGTTCACACAAGGTGGGTAGAGGCCAGAAATGAATCCCTTGAAGATTTCAGCTCACTACAGCTAGGATCCAGGGAGGAAAAAAACATTTCAGTTTTTTACCCAAATGTCCCAAAACTCAAAAAAAATCCATATCCGCGGTCATCAAAAATTCCAAGTTTTGGCCCAAAAATCCAACTTCACGAAATTCAGAGAAAAGTTCACACAAGGTTGGTAGAGGCCAGAAATGAATCCCCTGAAGATTTCACCTCACTACAGCTAGGATCCAGGGAGGAAAAAAAACATTTCAGTTTTTTACCCAAATGTCCCAAAACTAAAAAAAAAATCCATATCCGCGGTCATCAAAAATTCCAAGTTTTGGCCCAAAAATCCAACTTCACGAAATTCAGTCAAATGTTCACAAAAGGTGGGTAGAGGCCAGAAATGAATCCCTGAAGATTTCAGCTCACTACAGCTAGGATCCAGGGAGGAAAAAAACATTTCAGTTTTTTACCCAAATGTCCCAAAACTAAAAAAAAAAATCCATATCCGCGGTCATCAAAAATTCCAAGTTTTGGCCCAAAAATCCAACTTCACGAAATTCAGTCAAATGTTCACACAAGGTGGGTAGAGGCCAGAAATGAATCCCCTGAAGATTTCAGCTCACTACAGCTAGGATCCAGGGAGGAAAAAACATTTCAGTTTTTACCCAAATGTCCCAAAACTAAAAAAAAATCCATAACGCGGGTCATCAAAAATTCCAAGTTTTGGCCCAAAAATCCAACTTCACGAAATTCAGTCAAACGTTCACACAAGGTGGGTAGAGGCCAGAAATGAATCCCCTGAAGATTTCAGCTCACTACAGCTAGGATCCAGGGAGGAAAAAAAAAAATTTCAGTTTTTTACCCAAATGTCCCAAAACTAAAAAAAAAATCCAAATTCGCGGTCATCAAAAATTCCAAGTTTTGGCCCAAAAATCCAACTTCACTAAATTCAGTCAAATGTTCACACAAGGTGGGTAGAGGCCAGAAATGAATCCCCTGAAGATTTCAGCTCACTACAGCTAGGATCCAGGGAGGAAAAAACATTTCAGGTTTTTACCCAAATGTCTAAAAACCAAAAAAAATCCATATCCGCGGTCATCAAAAATTCCAAGTTTTGGCCCAAAAATCCAACTTCACTAAATTCAGTCAAATGTTCACACAAGGTGGGTAGAGGCCAAAATGAATCCCTGAAGATTTCAGCTCACTACAGCTAGGATCCAGGGAGGAAAAAAACATTTCAGTTTTTACCCAAATGTCCCAAAACTAAAAAAAAAATCAATATCCGCGGTCATCAAAAATTCCAAGTTTTGGCCCAAAAATCCAACTTCACGAAATTCAGTCAAATGTTCACACAAGGTGGGTAGAGGCCAGAAATGAATCCCCTGAAGATTGCAGCTCACTACAGCTAGGATCCAGGGAGGAAAAAAACATTTCAGTTTTTTACCCAAATGTCCCAAAACTAAAAAAAAATCCATACCCGCGGTCATCAAAAATTCCAAGTTTTGGCCCAAAAATCCAACTTCACGAAATTCAGTCAAATGTTCACACAACGTGGGTAGAGGCCAGAAATGAAATCCCCTGAAGATTTCAGCTCACTACAGCTAGGATCCAGGGAGGAAAAAAAACATTTCAGTTTTTTACCCAAATGTCCAAAAACCCAAAAAAAAATCCATATCCGCGGTCATCAAAAATTCCAAGTTTTGGCCCAAAAATCCAACTTCACGAAATTCAGTCAAATGGTCACACAAGGTGGGTAGAGGCCAGAAATGAATCCCCTGAAGATTTCAGCTCACTACAGCTAGGATCCAGGGAGGAAAAAAACATTTCATTTTTTACCCAAATGTCCCAAAACTCAAAAAAAAATCCATATCCGCGGTCATCAAAAATTCCAAGTTTTGGCCAAAAAATCCAACTTCACTAAATTCAGTCAAATGTTCACACAAGGTGGGTAGAGGCCAAAAATGAATCCCCTGAAGATTTCAGCTCACTACAGCTAGGATCCAGGGAGGAAAAAAACATTTCAGTTTTTTACCCAAATGTCCCAAAACTAAAAAAAAATCAATATCCGCGGTCATCAAAAATTCCAAGTTTTGGCCCAAAAATCCAACTTCACGAAATTCAGTCAAATGTTCACACAAGGTGGGTAGAGGCCAGAAATGAATCCCCTGAAGATTGCAGCTCACTACAGCTAGGATCCAGGGAGGAAAAAAACATTCAGTTTTTTACCCAAATGTCCCAAAACTAAAAAAAAATCCATACCCGCGGTCATCAAAAATTCCAAGTTTTTGCCCAAAAATCCAACTTCACGAAATTCAGTCAAATGTTCACACAAGGTGGGTAGAGGCCAGAAATGAATCCCCTGAAGATTTCAGCTCACTACAGCTAGGATCCAGGGAGGAAAAAAACATTTCAGTTTTTTACCCAAATGTCCAAAAACCCAAAAAAAATCCATATCCGCGGTCATCAAAAATTCCAAGTTTTGGCCCAAAAATCCAACTTCACGAAATTCAGTCAAATGGTCACACAAGGTGGTAGAGGCCAGAAATGAACCCCTGAAGATTTCAGCTCACTACAGCTAGGATCCAGGGAGGAGGAAAAAACATTTCAGTTTTTTACCCAAATGTCCAAAAACTCAAAAAAAATCCATATCCGAGCGGTCATCAAAAATTCCAAGTTTTGGCCCAAAAATCCAACTTCACGAAATTCAGAGAAAAGTTCAACAAGGTGGTAGAGGCCAGAAATGAATCCCCTGAAGATTTCAGCTCACTTCAGCTAGGATCCAGGGAGGAAAAAACATTTCAGTTTTTTACCCAAATGACCCAAAACTCCAAAAAAAATCCATTCGAGGTCATCAAAAAGTCCAAGTTTTGGCCCCCAAAAATCCAACTTCACGAAATTCAGTCAAATGTTCACACAAGGTGGGTAGAGGCCAGAAATGAAAACTGTGAAGATTTCGGCTCACTACAGCTAGGATCAAGGGAGGAAAAAATCATTTCAGGTTTTTACCCAAATGTCCAAACACAAAAAAAAAATCCATATCCGCGGTCATCAAAAATTCCAAGTTTTGGCCCAAAAATCCAACTTCACGAAATTCAGTCAAATGTTCACACAAGGTGGGTAGAGGCCAGAAATGAATCCCCTGAAGATTGCAGCTCACTACAGCTAGGATCCAGGGAGGAAAAAAACATTTCAGTTTTTTACCCAAATGTCCCAAAACTAAAAAAAAATCCATACCCGCGGTCATCAAAAAATTCCAAGTTTTGGCCCAAAAATCCAACTTCACGAAATTCAGTCAAATGTTCACACAACGTGGGTAGAGGCCAGAAATGAATCCCCTGAAGATTTCAGCTCACTACAGCTAGGATCCAGGGAGGAAAAAAACATTTCAGTTTTTTTACCCAAATGTCCCAAAACTCAAAAAAAATCCATATCCGCGGTCATCAAAAGTCCAAGTTTTGGCCCAAAAATCCAACTTCACAAAATTCAGTCAAATGTTCACACAAGGTGGGTAAAGGCCAGAAATGAATCCCCTGAAGATTTCAGCTCACTACAGCTAGGATCCAGGGAGGAAAAAAAACATTTCAGGTTTTTACCCAAATGTCCAAAAACCAAAAAAAAATCCATATCCGCGGTCATCAAAAATTCCAAGTTTTGGCCCAAAAATCCAACTTCACGAAATTCAGTCAAATGTTCACACAAGGTGGGTAGAGGCCAGAAATGAATCCCCTGAAGATTTCAGCTAACTACAGCTAGGATCCAGGGAGGAAAAAAACATTTCAGGTTTTTACCCAAATGTCCCAAAACTAAAAAAAAATCCATATCCGCGGTCATCAAAAATTCCAAGTTTTGGCCCAAAAATCCAACTTCACGAAATTCAGTCAAATGTTCACACAAGGTGGGTAGAGGCCAGAAATGAATCCCCTGAAGATTTCAGCTCACTACAGCTAGGATCCAGGGAGGAAACAAACATTTCAGTTTTTTACCCAAATGTCCCAAAACTAAAAAAAAATCCATATCCGCGGTCATCAAAAATTCCAAGTTTTGGCCCAAAAATCCAACTTCACGAAATTCAGTCAAATGTTCACACAAGGTGGGTAGAGGCCAGAAAAGAATCCCCTGAAGATTTCAGCTCACTACAGCTAGGATCCAGGGAGGAAAAAAACTTTTCAGTTTTTTACCCAAATGTCCCAAAACTAAAAAAAAATCCATATCCGCGGTCATCAAAAATTCCAAGTTGTGGCCCAAAAATTCAACATTACGAAATTCAGTCAAATGTTCACACAAGGTGGGTAGAGGCCAGAAATGAATCCCTGAAGATTTCAGCTCACTACAGCTAGGATCCAGGGAGGAAAAAAACATTTGTGACCTGTCACCACAAAATGAGAGTAAAGTCGGAAAATTTCAAAAGTTAGATTTTGGTATTTCTGAAATCTATAGATCAAGAGCTTTCCAATGGTATATAACACTTGGGGGTACTGCGCTCACTAACAAAGTTAGAGCCTAAGAAAGTCGTGGAGTCTACACACATTATAGGAAATAAATTTTGAGAAAACAGACTTTAAAGTTGTGTATAAGAACACCACACAAAATAATGCAACACATAGAAAGGTAGGTTCTGTTTCCTTAGCAACAACCATGTTCTGATTATTATTTTTACCTCAAATTTGCAGGACATACACACAATGACATTAGCATGTACATGCATTATTAATTGTAATGAATAAAAGGGTCTCATTTGCATAATTTGCATAATATTTGCATAATTTAGCAGACGTTTTGAATACTGTTGAAATAATGTAAACTGGCTTAGAATTTCAAAATCCATTGCTTTTACATACGAATAGTAAATCATTTTGATACATGAATTAATCAAGCATTGATAATGTAGAACAAACGTAATTAAACATCTTAAAGGAGCAGTCTTTTCACAGAATTTACTTTTTTTATGAATTGTAAGCAGTTCAGCTGAGCAGTTATAAATAGTTAACCGTCCATGTTTGAATTATCTCTTTGCAAAAGAACAGTGTATAAGCAATTAAGTTAACTTTGTAATATCAAAGCAAACAAACATGGTATCTCACACAGACAAGATAGCACTTGTTCCATTTGTCCGATTTTGTTGCTTTGAGCATCAAGGTTAAAGGGGCAGTTATAGAATGTAAAGGTGCTCAACATAGCAAACTTTCTTCATACACTGGACATCAATTATTGGAACTCCATGTCCTTCATGTTTCGCTACGTACTATAAAACAACACACTTTAACTAAAAATCAATTAAGAAAACCTTAAAGTGGCAGTATTTGTTATACATGTATTTACAACTCTTCTTAAACTTACAAAACTTTCTTGGATTTTACGCTACAATGTACATGTATATATTCATTTCAGCAAATCGGAAATGATATGATTCAATGTAATGTCGTTTTCTTTTATTCCTTTACGACTTAATAAATTAAAACAAAAGTTATAGTGACGCCCAAATCGCAATCTCAAATCCTCTATCAATGAGATTTTGTAAAAAAGTACAACTTGTGTGTGCACAGTTAAATCAAGGGTATAATCAAGGGTTTGTTAACTTAAATCTTCAACGTCTACGTTTTGGTGGGGCAATTTCACTCTCATCAGTTGCGCTAGAACTAGAATCTTCATCACTCGATTCTTCATGGCTATCTTCAAGTTGCGACTCTGCATCTTCAACATCAGGGAGGGCTGGGGCAGCTGGTGGTGGTGGGCACGTGATATCACGCGTCTGAGGGGTGCAGTACTCACGTATGCTTTGAAACAGGTACTCCGAACGCTTCGCAGACAGACCTGGGGGAGCAGTTGGCTCAGGTAGATTCTTGGCAGGCATGATACTGGGACTGCGTAAAAGCTGAACTCTTGTCTCTGGGGAGTCAGCGTATGCTTTCACGAAGGCTGCACGGGATCGTCTTTGCTGAACCTTTGATGAAAAAGGAAAGAAATTACAAATTGAATATTGAGGGCACACAGAATGGTTTGTATGATGCTGGTGGAGATCCAAGGAGTGGCGGGTGACAGGTTATGCAAAAACAACTAGATGCATAAACCATACTTTAGAGACAACAATCGATAATGTTTTACCTCATGTGGTGGTAGCCTTTGATGCCTGGTAGAGTTCGGAAGAAGGGTTTCAGGAATGCCTGCCAGTCATACAAGGACACGGAACTGGTACCATTCTCAGTGCCAACAAGCTGTGGAATATTCACACCACTCGTTGTACTGGTGCGAACAACCTCTTCAAGATCCCCCAGGCAGCTGACTACGCACTTTCGGTATCTCTGCTTAAGCAGGCCAAAACACCAGTCCGGTGAAAACTTTGTGTGGCCGGCGATGAGGAAGTTCACTGTTACGTTATCATGAAAACCATGAAGTGTTCGCCAGACAAAGTACCACATTACAAAATTGTTCTTGTTCTGCCCCGAGCAATTGTCGCAGTGGAGTTCAACATTCTCCTCACCCAGGCCATAGTGAAGAAAAAAATGGTGTAAATAACTCAAGACCGCATTAGATCCTTTAGATGACGACATACCCTCATCCACTAGGTAATTTACCTGTTCAGGGATTCCTTCACAGCAAACTCCAAATATGCCGCACTTGCGAGGGCAAAGAAAATACATGGGGCCCGGCTGGTTTGGATTGTGAGGGTAATGGACTTGCTGAGCAAAGTCGAAACTATAGTGAGCTGTCCCCCGTCGAGAAGCTGGCTGATGAAGACCAAGGTGTTCCTCTCCGACAGCTTGCTTACAATCTGCAACCATGGATCGGTAGAGATCACGCTCCATGTTTACAACCCGTAGATGTTCTTCCTGGCGTCTCAGCTGTGCGAGCTTTTCTCCATCCAGCTGGTTGGCGCTCTGGTAAACAAGACTGTTGTTGCGTTGGCATACCCAGCACAGATCTGTCTTTGGTCGGGTGGTCAACACAAAGGGACAGTACTGGCACCACAGCTTTGTGAATGTCACTCGCTTTACGATGCAAAAATCTGGATCACCTGGCATCAGAAGTGAAAAAAAAAATACATTGAAAAATTAATACCATTTTCAAGAAACAAAGAAACTGTGTTTTGTGGTCATTTTTTTTTAACTCTGTAATAACAAAGAAAGCTTAAGGTACATAATGTACCGCTGTCAATAAAAGATGGAATTTGTTGGAGTGTTTACATCACATATATTTTCTAAAGTTCAAGGCCTTCTTACATCTTTGTCCTCGGTAAATTTATCTACAACACATCATAACATGGGCTTAGACTGGCGTACGAATTAAAAACAATAAAAATACCAAAACGTATGTGGAACCTCTGTGTTTTGGGGTAAGCAGAGGAGTATAGGGGTTTGTACATCCATAATTTGAACGATTGATTTTTTTTTACTAATAAAAGTACCTGAAAGTCTCCGTGTAGAGTTCATATCCCCCATGTAAGTCTGATATTTCCTCCATACTGATGATTTCGTCTCAGATGAAGGAAGTAAGCGCACCCTTGGGTCCTGGCACTTCACCCCACTGACACGACCAGGTATCACCAATGCATGCTCCTCGGCATAGGAGCTGATGAACTGAACCACCCGCTCGATGTCCTTTACCGTCAGAGCCCTTGTATTAAACCTCCTTCCTCCTGATGTGATCTTATGGGGGGCAGCTCCTTCATGTTTATAGTGCTTGGCAAGACTCGTGAGCAGATTGTTAGAAACGCTGAAATATAATTTAAGAAAAAGTGTCGGAAAACGTTATTTCCGCTGGCTAGTTGGGGGATCCTGCTCCAGCTCCACTGATGAATCTTCCATGTCACGAGCAAGTGAACTGGATATTTCAAGCTAGGTTCAATTAAAACAAATAATAAACAACAACTTACTTGTGCATGAACTGGAAAGCTTCACGACAGACCTTCACTCCTTCAACAAGATACTCGGTTCTCGATCGCTGTCGGACTTTCTGTCGGGGACGTTTCTTGCAATTTGTAGTTTGACTGTTGTTCAATGTCGTACTCAACTTGCCAAGTAGGAACATCTTCTTCTCGGACTTGGTGAGTGTCGCATCACTCATTTGGCGACGAAGTTTGATGATGAATCCACTGTCAAACTTTTGCAGACATTGATGGTTGCGGCATCTGCACTTGTTGAAGTTCCTCACTTTCTCCAGCTCCTCCTCAGCATCAGGGGAAACCCAATCATCCATTCCTATGTTAGGGACATTAACAGATTTATGAGGGCGCTGTTCGTTTGGAAATTCGTTCATTTAATGACACGGTTTCTAATGAAATTGTGATTTTCTCTCCGTTTGGCTCATTGATAATGTTTCTTTTAAAGGGAATATACATCATTTGCTTTTGCTGTAATTTTCAGAAATGGATGGAATTGGGGGTTTGGAAATATAAAGCAAATATAGCTACACTGAAATTTTGGAGGTTTTGGGTTCGAAAATGCTATAAAAACCAAGAAAAACGATCATTTTCCTGTAGTCTGGTTCCCTGACTCCATATAAGAAGAAACAGAGCAGTTTACATACATTGGGGAATTGTAAGGTCAGGGAACCAGTCTAGCTGGCTCGTACCCGTTCATAGGTTTGTAATCGATTGCAAACAAGTGCAATGGTAAATTGGGGCCAGTATTTGAAAAAAAAGCCAGTTGTTTCCAACGCTGATCGGCCGATCAGCGTTGGAAATTGATACAAAAATAACACTTTCTTGAAAATGACAGTATACCAGGTGCCATAATTTTACAGGATGCTTTAGACTGTCATTTACCAACATCCTATTAAGGTATTTCGCAAAAACTTGGTAGCTTTATTTTTCGATGTTTGCAAATGTTGTATATTCCCTTTAAATTAAAATATCACTCGAATTTTTTAAAATCACGATTGCAATCTGCCTTTTAAGTTTTATTCATTAAACTAAGCTAGTTGAGTAAAGACAAAGATGTTTGTGTGTGCAAAATAAGTACACTTTCCTCTGCATTAAATGTACACAATTCAGGGAAAACAAATAATTAAAATTAGGATTAAACTTTGACTTTCTCTTTAACCTTACAAAAAGTGAAAAACAACATAACAAAAAAGTAGATTTTTTGTTGTTGAAAAATCCATTACTTAGCCCCCTACCTATATCCTGAATGATGTTGGCTGCAACATTTTCAACAACGATTGGTTCAAGATCATCGTTGTCATCAACATCCATGGGTTCTTCTGCGTTGTCGATGTCATTTTCCCCGTCAGAAGCAGACTCTTTCCAGTGGCCGCCGGCATCGGAATCAGAATCTGACGACTCGCGATCGCTCGCACCATCGTGACTGTCCGAAGCATCACCGTGGTTATCGCTGGAAAAGAACTCCGTAAAAAGCTCTCCAAGTGCATCGTTGTCAGCGGCATTGAGGCCCAAAATACGAGAATCGTTGAGTGCAATCTTGATTCGGTCTTCGTCGGACATTTTATTTATTGAAATCCTCACAAAATCAAACGAAAGAATTGTCACATAAACGCTGCCATTTTCATGCATGCGCCATGTACATGTACAATGTACATTGATTGTATGTGTACGTACGTGTACGTGTACGTGTACGGAGCTAGCTCCGGACAACACTCGAGCGCATGCGCAGAAGATCATGTGGTAGCATTACACCAATCACAGTCCTTAAAACGACAAGCGTTGGCAACAAGGGCTGTTTGTTTACATCGATGACAACCGAATAAACTCTCTTGTATTTTATTTATGAATGAAAGGTCAAGGGTTACCTTACTGAAAATAAAAAGGCCACGTCACCAGCTTTCGGACGATACCAAAATCAAGTGGGTACGTATAAGCAATCACGCGATAGGAGGGTGACAATTTTTACAAAATCAGGCGGCTTTGCGTCTTTGTCTCCGACATTGTTTTAAGATTTCTGACCAGACACGAACAATGCCATCGTCAAAATTGGCCTAAAAATGATGTTTGTAAATGTCTAATTGCGCCAAAAAATTGGATTTAGATAGAACGGGGTTTACACTTTCCAAATATTACAAAACCCAAAAATTGACCACCCCTTCAATTTTGGACTTTGAACCGTCCTAATAGGAAACAGCAGAGTGCGACTTTACGCTCATTTCGTCGTGACAGGTCACATTTCAGTTTTTTACCCAAATGTCCCAAAACTCAAAAAAAATCCATATCCGCGGTCATCAAAAATTCCAAGTTTTGGCCCAAAAATCCAACTTCACGAAATTCAGTCAAATGTTCACACAAGGTGGGTAGAGGCCAGAAATGAATCCCCTTAAGATTTCAGCTCACTACAGCTAGGATCCAGGGAGGAAAAAAACATTTCAGTTTTTTACCCAAATGTCCCAAAACTCAAAAAAAATCCATATCCGCGGTCATCAAAAAGTCCAAGTTTTGGCCCAAAAATCCAACTTCACGAAATTCAGTCAAATGTTCACACAAGGTGGGTAGCGGCCAGAAATGAATCCCCTGAAGATTTCAGCTCACTACAGCTAGGATCCAGGGAGGAAAAAAACATTTCAGGTTTTTACCCAAATGTCCAAAAACCAAAAAAAAAATCCATATCTGCGGTCATCAAAAATTCCAAGTTGTGGCCCAAAAATCCAACTTCACGAAATTCAGTCAAATGTTCACACAAGGTTGGTAGAGGCCAGAAATGAATCCCCTGAAAATTTCAGCTCACTACAGCTAGGATCCAGGGAGGAAAAAAACATTTCAGTTTTTTACCCAAATGTCCCAAAACTCAAAAAAAATCCATAGCCGCGGTCATCAAAAATTCCAAGTTTTGGCCCAAAAATCCAACTTCACGAAATTCAGTCAAATGTTCACACAAGGTGGGTAGAGGCCAGAAATGAATCCCCTGAAGATTTCAGCTCACTACAGCTAGGATCCAGGGAGGAAAAAAACATTTCAGTTTTTTACCCAAATGTCCCAAAACTAAAAAAAAATCCATATCCGCGGTCATCAAAAATTCCAAGTTGTGGCCTAAAAATTCAACATTACGAAATTCAGTCAAATGTTCACACGAGGTGGGTAGAGGCCAAAAATGAATCCCCTGAAGATTTCAGCTCACTACAGCTAGGATCCAGGGAGGAAAAAAACATTTCATGTTTTTACCCAAATGTCCCAAAACTCAAAAAAAATCCATATCCGCGGTCATCAAAAATTCCAAGTTTTGGCCCAAAAATCCAACTTCACGAAATTCAGTCGAATGTTCACACAAGGTGGGTAAAGGCCAGAAATGAATCCCCTGAAGATTTCAGCTCACTACAGCTAGGATCCAGGGAGGAAAAAAAACATTTCAGGTTTTTACCCAAATGTCCAAAAACCAAAAAAAAATCCATATCCGCGGTCATCAAAAATTCCAAGTTTTGGCCCAAAAATCCAACTTCACGAAATTCAGTCAAATGTTCACACAAGGTGGGTAGAGGCCAGAAATGAATCCCCTGAAGATTTCAGCTCACTACAGCTAGGATCCAGTGAGGAAAAAAACATTTCAGTTTTTTACCCAAATGTCCCAAAACTCAAAAAAAATCCATATCCGCGGTCATCAAAAATTCCAAGTTTTGGCCCAAAAATCCAACTTCACGAAATTCAGTCAAATGTTCACACAAGGTGGGTAGCGGCCAGAAATGAATCCCCTGAAGATTTCAGCTCACTACAGCTAGGATCCAGGGAGGAAAAAAACATTTCAGGTTTTTACCCAAATGTCCAAAAACCAAAAAAAAATCCATATCCGCGGTCATCAAAAATTCCAAAGTTTGGCCCAAAAATCCCACTTCACGAAATTCGGTCAAATGTTCACACAAGGTGGGTAGAGGCCAGAAATGAATCCCCTGAAGATTTCAGCTCACTACAGCTAGGATCCAGGGAGGAAAAACATTTCAGGTTTTTACCCAAATGTCCCAAAACTAAAAAAAAATCCATATCCGCGGTCATCAAAAATTCCAAGTTGTGGCCCAAAAATTCAACATTACGAAATTCAGTCAAATGTTCACACAAGGTGGGTAGAGGCCAGAAATTAATCCCCTGAAGATTTCAGCTCACTACAGCTAGGATCCAGGGAGGAAAAAAACATTTCAGTTTTTTTACCCAAATGTCCCAAAACTCAAAAAAAATCCATATCCGCGGTCATCAAAAATTGTAAGTTTTGGCCCAAAAATCCAACTTCACGAAATTCAGTCAAATGTTCACACAAGGTGGGTAGCGGCCAGAAACAAATCCCCTGAAGATTTCAGCTCACTACAGCTAGGATCCAGGGAGGAAAAAAACATTTCAGGTTTTTACCCAAATGTCCCAAAACTCAAAAAAAATCCATATCCGCGGTCATCAAAAATTCCAAGTTTTGGCCCAAAAATCCAACTTCACGAAATTCAGTCAAATGTTCACACAAGGTGGGTAGAGGCCAGAAATGAATCCCCTGAAGATTTCAGCTCACTACAGCTAGGATCCAGGGAGGAAAACAAAATTTCAGTTTTTTACCCAAATGTCCCAAAACTAAAAAAAAATCCATATCCGCGGTCATCAAAAATTCCAAGTTGTGGCCCAAAAATTCAACTTCACGAAATTCAGTCAAATGTTCACACAAGGTGGGTAGAGGCCAGAAATGAATCCCCTGAAGATTTCAGCTCACTACAGCTAGGATCCAGGGAGGAAAAAAACATTTCAGGTTTTTACCCAAATGTCCCAAAACTCAAAAAAAATCCATATCCGCGGTCATCAAAAATTCCAAGTTTTGGCCCAAAAATCCAACATCACGAAATTCAGTCAAATGTTCACACAAGGTTGGTAGAGGCCAAAAATGAATCCCCTGAAGATTTCAGCTCACTACAGCTAGGATCCAGGGAGGAAAAAAACATTTCAGTTTTTTACCCAAATGTCCCAAAACTAAAAAAAAATCCATATCCGCGGTCATCAAAAATTCCAAGTTTTGGCCCAAAAATCCAACTTCACGAAATTCAGTCAAATGTTCACACAAGGTGGGTAGAGGCCAGAAATGAATCCCCTGAAGATTTCAGCTCACTACAGCTAGGATCCAGGGAGGAAAAAAACATTTCAGTTTTTTACCCAAATGTCCCAAAACTAAAAAAAAATCCATATCCGCGGTCATCAAAAATTCCGAGTTGTGGCCCAAAAATTCAACATTACGAAATTCAGTCAAATGTTCACACGAGGTGGGTAGAGGCCAGAAATGAATCCCCTGAAGATTTCAGCTCACTACAGCTAGGATCCAGGGAGGAAAAAAACATTTCAGGTTTTTACCCAAATGTCCCAAAACTCAAAAAAAATCCATATCCGCGGTCATCAAAAATTCCAAGTTTTGGCCCAAAAATCCAACATCACGAAATTCAGTCAAATGTTCACACAAGGTGGGTAGAGGCCAGAAATGAATCCCCTGAAGATTGCAGCTCACTACAGCTAGGATCCAGGGAGGAAAAAAACATTTCAGTTTTTTACCCAAATGTCCCAAAACTAAAAAAAAATCCATACCCGCGGTCATCAAAAATTCCAAGTTTTGGCCCAAAAATCCAACTTCACGAAATTCAGTCAAATGTTCACACAACGTGGGTAGAGGCCAGAAATGAATCCCCTGAAGATTTCAGCTCACTACAGCTAGGATCCAGGGAGGAAAAAAACATTTCAGTTTTTTACCCAAATGTCCAAAAACCCAAAAAAAATCCATATCCGCGGTCATCAAAAATTCCAAGTTTTGGCCCAAAAATCCAACTTCACGAAATTCAGTCAAATGGTCACACAAGGTGGGTAGAGGCCAGAAATGAATCCCCTGAAGATTTCAGCTCACTACAGCTAGGATCCAGGGAGGAAAAAAACATTTCAGTTTTTTACCCAAATGTCCCAAAACTCAAAAAAAATCCATATCCGCGGTCATCAAAAATTCCAAGTTTTGGCCCAAAAATCCAACTTCACGAAATTCAGAGAAAAGTTCACACAAGGTGGGTAGAGGCCAGAAATGAATCCCCTGAAGATTTCAGCTCACTTCAGCTAGGATCCAGGGAGGAAAAAACATTTCAGTTTTTTACCCAAATGACCCAAAACTCAAAAAAAATCCATATCCGAGGTCATCAAAAAGTCCAAGTTTTGGCCCAAAAATCCAACTTCACGAAATTCAGTCAAATGTTCACACAAGGTGGGTAGAGGCCAGAAATGAAAACTGTGAAGATTTCGGCTCACTACAGCTAGGATCAAGGGAGGAAAAAATCATTTCAGGTTTTTACCCAAATGTCCAAACACCAAAAAAAAAATCCATATCCGCGGTCATCAAAAATTCCAAGTTTTGGCCCAAAAATCCAACTTCACGAAATTCAGTCAAATGTTCACACAAGGTGGGTAGAGGCCAGAAATGAATCCCCTGAAGATTGCAGCTCACTACAGCTAGGATCCAGGGAGGAAAAAAACATTTCAGTTTTTTACCCAAATGTCCCAAAACTAAAAAAAAA